TATTTCTAATTAGCCATGTCATTATTTTAATACATGTTTATTTAAATAAGTGTTTATTGCTTTTAAATCCCTTAGTTTATTACTCAGTAACCTTCCAGATTAAATTTGAATGCATCTTAGTTTTTACTGAAGGACAACACACCGACGCGTGAAATATAAAAGTATTTTATTTTCGACCCCCCCCGCAACATATAGCTATCATTAAGCCGAGTTTGTTAATTAAAATTGAACGAGAAATATCTTACATTTCTCTGAATGGCAACAGACTCACGCTCTGAAGATAAAAATCTTTTATTCCGAAAAGTGTTACCAATGCTTGCTTTCAGATTGTTGAGTTTGTTAATCAAAAATTCTTAAAATGTTTTTAAAATATGAAATTAATAATAAAACGAATTCGAAACATAAAATTTGGACTACTAGGTTCCATATGTTTGGATGGATGTACTATCGTTTATTTGACAGTGCGAGGAACATACATATTTACATGCATATTTTTCATTAAATAATTTCTTTAATAATATTTGGTGGCAACAGTTAGAAAAGTGATACACCGTTTATGGTGAGCTGATGTAAAATCTCATTTCGAGACGAATGGCTCCTTTTGGGCTAATGATAAATAATTAAGGATAATTACTAGTATAATAATAAATATGTTGATTATAACTATAATTGTAATAATAAGTAATTAAAGATAATGTTTACTATTAAATATTAAGTAATGTCGCTTTTAATGCTAAGCATCGCTACGCTTGTTTTCAAAGCAATATTCAGAATTACATATTTAAGAATAAAAGAATATTATTTTCTGCGTATAAAAATAGATAAGGGTAATTAGTGAAATAACTGCGAAAATATAACAGGTGAATGAATTCGATTTAAAATTTTTCCCATGTGAACAGCTTCTTTTTAAACTAAATAAATAAATGTTGCAGAAGCATTCAAGCATGACTGGATCTCATCTTGAAACGAACTAGGCTCCGATCAAAACACAGGACCTTCGCAGTTCGTCATCCCAGTGCTCTTTTAATCAGACGATCCCTACCGATCTTCACGATATGACCTGTTGATGTAAGTGCTTTAATTTGACCCAAAGCGCCCTTCACAATGTTTCATTAAATAAACAGTTGTAAACTGTTATTTTTACAAGAATTAGGATAGCTGGAATCATAGTGCAGTATCAATTCGTAAAATATAATTTATACGAATCTATATTTCCACTATTTCTAACGGCTGTTAATGTAATATTTATCGATATATTTCATTAATACAGCACAGTCGGATAGCAAAACCTACAGAAGTATATAATCCATTAAATTCTATCCCATATGAATTTTACTAATTTCACAGGACTACTGAAAACTGTAATTAAGTCGAAGGAATTGTGTAACGAGTCAAACATGATATATTTGTTTTAAATTTTAAAACTTTTTTTTTTATATGTACCAATTGTCTAACCATTTTGTGTTTTAAGAACAACCGCATGCAGTCAGCAAAAATGCTGCTTTTAAAATATTCAGCGCAGGATATATGTTTCATTGGTTTCTTGGTTTCCGGGAAATGCCTGAAGGAAATGTTCGTTAAATCGGTTATCGTTGAATCGGATTCGAACCGCAAAAATTAATTAAAATAAGATTGAATTAGCTTTATCAAGTTAATTTCGTTTCCAATCATAAAGCCTTTTTAACTTGCAAATTGAAAAAACGTATATGCCTTTTCAACGTTTATATTATAAATGTCACACTTTAAAAAAGGGAGGAGGGTCATATAAAAAGGAATCGTAAAAATGCTTCACATATTAGTGATCAAATTAATGGAAAATGTATTTTTTTTAAGCGAAAATTAAGAATTATTACTGAGATCGTTTTAAGCATTTCTATCAATAACAAGTTTACAATTAAAACGCTCTGCGATTGCCCAAGTAATTCGTTTTAGTTTCTTTCCTTTTTTTTTTTTTTTTTTCCCTAATTTGAAGATTAAATATAATTTTTTCACTCAAGAAGCATCACTGATTTACTTTCTAAAACTGAACTTGCAAACATTTCATAATAAATATTACAAGCAACAATCAATTACACTAACAAATCTAATCTTAAAAAATCTGATGTGGACACCACAGGACTTCCTTGTACGGAATATTATACGCATTTTTTCTTGAATTTTATTTAAATTGATTGTATTGAATTAAATCTACTTCGTCGACAGCGCATAAACCACAATAGAATAAATGCACTCTTTCAAATTCACTATATTTGTTTACTATAACGACACTCTGAATGCACAAAATTTATATCATTTGAAGAATTATCTTATCGTTGCCACATGTTCTATTCAAATACTATAATAAAGCTAGAACGATGTATGGAAGAAATTAAGCAAACAAAATAGAAAAGAAACAGTTTTTCACAGACGATTTAGTATTTCTCATTCAATTAATTCAGTTCTCACTTCGCGACAAGGCAAAAATACATAAAAACTCAAAATATCCGTATTAAAATTTACGAAGTAAATCTTAAACACTTATTTCCTCGAAAAAATTCCAGAAAGGATTAAGTATGATTTAATTCGCAATAATAAATGAAGGCGTTATTTTTGTTGTTGCGAAGCTTAGTCTCTATAGATTGGCAACAAATCTACAATTCTGCTGTTTCAAATGTAAACAAATATGTCCGCCATGTTATTTAAAACTTAACCGCACTTAAACAGCTTTTAAATTGTTGATAATTGCACAAATATTGCTTCCAGAGTTACGAAAGGCATAAAAGCCTTAACCGGAATATAAGAACAACATAATTCAATCATTTTTAAAGCAAAAAATGTACAATTTACAAACATATAAGAGTAAAGAAACTGAGATCACTGTGCCGAGTAACAGAGTGGATATAAATATAGTATTTATATACGTTTGGTGCGGCCGATTGCAACCAATGTACGAGGTGCATATCTACATGTTATAGAAGTCCTATATACAAAATTTCAACGTTCTGAGGCTACTCGTTTTCGAGTTATGCGAACGTATGTACGCACGTACGTACGTACATACGTTCGTACAGACGCCACGAAAAATTCTCTTCAGAATTAATTTTAAAGCAGTTTTATCATTTTTTGGAGGAAACGAGTATTTTATTCTGTCCTTACGTACAGATATCACGCAAAAACATCGTTAAATTGCATTCGATAGCGGTCAAAATGGATATTTTCGTTGAAATATGCTGCCTGAAACTTTACGCGATTACAATACTTCCTTTTTACTTCGTACAAGGAAGTAAAAAGGGAAAAGTTCCTCCTTTCTCAATATTAGTTTCTTTCCTTATCGCACATCCCTGAAGAATAATTTTACTAAAAGTATTACAAACATTTAAAATACGGGAACTCTGAAAAATAACTATTCCACAGACATGAAAGTAATTAAAAAACCTCACTAAAATATGCACATTGTTAGTAGTTTATGAGCATTATTTAGAATCAAATAACAACAATGTACGAACATTATTTGGAATCAAATAATTATTTTATTTGGAATCAAATAATGTTCTTACAACATAAGTCATGCAAAACAGTAAAACAACATAAAGGAGAATTTGTAAATAATTTTTCTGATGCTATGAATGCATTTACGCAAATACCTCCCGCTGTCGTAACACAAAACTTACACACGTTCATTTCATTGTCCGTTCTCATCCACAGATATTTTATTTTTTATACATTATGACTTGCTACTTTTATTATTTTTACACTAATCTTCGGAAATTTTAGAATTTTAAAACTTTTTTTCAATTTCTGTTTATAATATTATGTTTTACATATTCGATTACTTTATTATGTATGAACTGACTATATTTACTATGTAATATTTATAATAATAAGACTTGCAAATTAAAATTTTTGCGAAGTTTCATTCAAAATTTCTTTCTAATAATAAATTAATATGTTGTGCTTTATGCACTATATTTTGCACTATAAATTTGGGTAAATTAATAAATTAATAGTTAGCACAAACAGTACCTAATGTCTAATGGTATTGTTTGCCGGCATCCTTTCACTTATAACTAACTTACTAATTATGCTTACGAGTTTCAAAGATATCACCGAATTATTTATTTCATGGATTATATAATGGAGACTCTGAAATATTTAAAATTCCCCTTGTAATGTATTTGAGAGCTGAATTCAAATGACAATATCAGTACAATGAAAAATATCATTGAAATTATTAAAACATTGGAAATAATATGTAACTAAACTAATAAAATTCTAATGTAGTTAAGCGAAACTTATAAAAAAATTCATGTGAAAGCTGAAAGTGTTGAAAAATAAAACTCGCATGTGCATATCTGAACAATTACATATAGTTTATGAACAATTGTATCATTACACTGACATTTATAACTAAACAAAACTTTCTAGCTACACATGATAACTTTTTAGCTGAACATTACGTATATTGACAACGGTATATTTCCCGATTTTTTCTAAAAAGACGCTACCATTAGTAGATTTTAACTGCACGAAAGTTAATGAAACTTTACCGCACCAAATCTAGATATGGTATGTTTTACATGCGTTTGTACGCCCGGAAGAACAAGCTAAAAATTCTAAAGTTGCTTATAATTTCGATTGTTATTTTAAATGTTAATAAAAAAAGGAACATCATTTTCTTAATAAAGGTATGACACACAAAAGCGTACGATCACAATTAAAAATTTGTAAATATTTCATATTGATTTACCTGTGCGTTTATAAAGTAGATATAACAATTAAGTAATACTGTTAAGGAAAAATAAATAAGTACAGTTATGTGCAACTTATGTTTACATAATTAAAGATATAATTTAATTAGAATTATAAGGCAAACTTTTACAGTTTCAAACAGCTGTGGGAGTTAATAAACACACAGCGCAAAACGATCGATACATATGATATTTATCACAATTTCTAACAGATAACTTTATTAGAAGCTAAATATAAATAATGCGCGAAGATAATTAGAAGAATATTATTACCTCGGAGATTCACATTCCGCTAGAGTAGCAGGATGACACCATAACAACATGTTGGTTGTATGAAATATCCCAACAATACCACTTGCAGATCCCCTTCTCCCTAAGAAAGGTGGAGTTCCCTTTGGATCATATTTAGGGAGCAAAGGGGTCACGCGATCGACGCAAAGGGATCGCGACCTGTCCCTTTTCGGCATGGAACTTTTGAAACAAGAAAGTGGCTGATTGAGAGGCTGACCGTGTTTCAGAGGCATGACTGATTTGCAGGTACGAAGAACCTATCCAAGAACTATCCACATTCTTTTACTAGCCGGCTAAAAAAAAATTAAACATCCACTTTTATTTATCTAGGAAAACGCGAGTTTTCTTGATATCTTTCGCGACTTTTTATACGACAAAAGGGATTTTATTTAGGAAAGGCACGATGTTGGATTGTAAACTTAAGGTTTTCTGTAGATCATCTGAAAGTACATTACATAGCCAGCGAAGATAGTATTTCTGAAATATAAACAAACGTTCGCATTGCCTTTGATGTAAACTCTAGATGAAGAAAAAGGAAATATTTTTATGTTAAAAGTTTGAAAATTTTTCTGCTTAAAAATCAAAGTTCAGTGGAAGAAAAAGACAGTAAATTCTTTGTTCAGATTGTTCATCAGCCGTTGCAGAGACTATCCAAAAAGTTCACATCTCTTTCAAGAATGCGTAAACATTGGGAGTTTTGCACGAGCCGCGTTTTTATTTTATAAACCATTCGTTAAAAAGGCTGTTGAATTATTCCATACGGAAATATAGATGCATAAGGAAATGGGAGCATTAATACTAATAAATATAAACTTTTTTTTAGCTGCAACCGCGAACCTGAAACATTCAGCCGCGCACATTCACTACCCTTTGATTCTGAACTGTGAACACCTTGAATCATTTTGCAGATAGGCTAAAATCCGTCGCGCATGCGCTCGGAATGCCATCGAGCGCATTTCGTCGTTGGTCTCTGGGATAGGACATCCCGCCTTTCTCCTCAAAGTGGGGGGGAAGGAAGATGGGATTAAAGCAACATATTGAATGACAGCATTCGGTTTATCAGGTGGTCGTCTTTTTATCTGAGTGATTGCAGTTGTTTTTCTCTCGAAATAAAAAAAGCGGAAAAAAAAACTACCATTCACATACTTCTTTAGTTAAGTGACTTTTTTTTCCCCACACAGTGTATAATATTACTCAACAAGTAAATTCGTTATGCCAGCTGCATAGTCAAGAAGGAAAGCAAAATGGAAGATTGAGGTCACACTTTCAAATGCCAAATGAGAGTTTCTAAATTTTTCATGCTTAGAAGAAAGGAAAGATGTCAGTTTTTGATAAACGTTTCAAAATGAAGATCTTACGCACATATTTAAAATTTGAATTTATCGGCATGCATGACACGGTTGTTAGGCTGCTAAACTGTCCGCATTGCGCGAATTTGTGTTACACAAAACGAACTACAAGTATAATCAGAAGCAGAGTTAGGTTGTTTTTTGGTTTTGATTTATTTAATTACGTTAAAGCACACAATAGCTATCTGCCCAAGGGAAGAGATGCCTTCTTGCACTCGGAGAAACAGGCTTGTATACACGTTACACATTGGGAAAACCACGCAAACGCCCATGCAGCCAGCCCGATCGCCGGGATTCGAGGCCCAAATCGAACTACCAGAGTTCAGCGACTTTATCGCTCTATCTCTGATGAGCCAGAAAAGTTAGGATCCTACCTTAAATGAAACTGTACTGTTTCTCCATAACAAACAAATATATTTATTATAAATATCTGTGATTGATTACATCTATTATACATTACAAATTAAATAATGATCATCAGTTTCTTTCTCTTTTAAGTAATGAACAGTATAACAAAAGTGCATTTCATTTGTTCTAAAATATGATTATTTCTCAGTTTCCTCAAAAAGGCACAAAGCATTGATTTCGGCAACTTTATTTCCAATATATATATACTATTCATGGGTTACTTTTTTCTTGTCAGATTTTTATAAATTTCGAAGGGACTTATTGCTATTTTAATAATTAAATCCGTACGCACTTTGTAAAATTTTTCTTGAAACTCGTGCTGCCTTCAAGTTAAAGATTTTTATTTAAAATATAATTTTTAACGTTCCGTAAAGTTTACGCTTTTTTGTAGTTCTGCTTTAGAAGCAATTTCATATTTGGTTGATATCACAAAATTTGTTGGGCCCTTTGGCTTATTCTTGTGAAACTTTCTTCAGATTGTAAGGTTTTTCTTCCTCTTTACGACATACCTTATTAGTGTAACTGGAAATTCAGTCCACAGGGCCATCGGAAGATCCGAAGTTCGACTCCCGGCATTGCTCATTTTTCATGTTTTCTGCTCCAAAATAAACCTAATGATTCTGCAGTGACAGCCGAATTAAAAAAATGTTGGCGGACGATTATTCGTGATCGCCTGGAAGTAGCGATTGGATCCCCTCCTTCTTAGTCCCCTTTAAAGGGGGGGGGCGTGTAGGATTTTTCTTCCGCCATTTGTTATTATTCTCATTTTCTGCTTCAAAATAAACCAAATGGCTCTACGAGATGTCCTTCGATATCCGAAAAGTGCTTTTATAGGTCAGGTCTTCCATAAAAGTGAAATAGCGTAAAACGAACTTTAAGAGGGATATTTGCATACTGGGATGATTAAAATAAAAAACAAAACTCGAAAGATTTTTTCAACTTTTCACCAAATATAAGTTTTTTGGGGAACAGCATTGAATTAATATATAAAAATAAATATTATGTTGAAGAAGCCACTTCTAATTTGATACTTCCGGTCGCAATTTTAAAATTCTATACAGATTGGCTTTTTAACGACTTTGCGCTGTCTTTAAAATTAATAACTGTAGCTTATTAACTCTAATAAATGCAATACTAAAGGAGGAAATGTTAACAATAAAATTCACAAATTATACCGATAGTTTTCAAACCGAATTCTTTTGGTTATATTAAGACAAGAAAATTACATGTAAAACTTTGATAATGCACCTGCAATAATTTGTTTACATCAGTTCTTTTTATAAATATTTTATTTCATTTAAAATCACTCGACATTTCTTAAAGATATTTAATTCATTTGGCTTCTCCAGCATTGCACTATTACAACAGAACTCGTTTACGTGAAATATTCGGGTGGGCACATTTCGAATAATACGTTTTTTAGGAAGATCTATTATAACTATTTTGGGCGGTAAGAAGTACGAATGAAAACGTATAATATAGGTAACAATGAAGTATTATACTTATATCTACATTATTCAAGATAATGAGAGAACGTTAAGTAGTTTACAACTACCTATATAGCGCAACTATTATAAATAGTAAAAACTAAAATCACCTTTAAGATAGTAGAAATTATAGGCCTTATTATTCTTTTATATTCCCTAGTATTAATAAAGTATTCTTTGCATATAATCATTTTATGAAACCTACTGTCATCAAAAGAGACTTATGCTCAGTGAACTACAAAAATGGGCACTATGGATGAACTACGAACTTTGAAAGATGTTAAATCAGATATTCTGGCAGTGAAGAATCATTCTTTTTGATAATCTGAATTTTTTAAGCGGGGAACATAAGTTTAATAAACGGTAGTTTTTCTATTGATTAGTATTTATTTCATTTGGTTTCTAGAATTTTAAACAAAATAGGGGGCATAGTTTATTAATCACTAAGTTTAATAAGCAGCGGGGACTGTAATTTGGGAGGTATACTACAATAATAAAGGAACAACCAAGGACACGAAAAAACTACATTTAAAAAGCAGTAAAAACTGCATTTAAAAATTTTTAACTCCTAATTAAATTTCTTCGATCTTTGCAAAAACATCCTAGATAATCATGAAATTTATTGATATTTTATTGATGAAAGTAGTTATAAAATTATACGGCAAAAAATATAGTTTCTAACAATGTTGCGAAGGGTATTTCATAAGATTTTTCGAAGAAGGATATTTCTATTTTGAAAGAAAATGTGCAAATCAAGAATATAACCACGTCAAAATGTGTGGTATATTTAATGGATGCGCAGGAAACTCTTGAATTGACGTGAGCTTAAATATTAAATAAATGTGTTCATTGTGAAACTATGGAAAGGTAACTATCATAAGCCATTGTTACGTAACTAACTGAAATTATTCTCCAAATTAAATAACATGAAAAATGATTTTTTTAAATTGAGCTTTTATTTAAAACTCATAAAACAATCGACGACCTAAAAGAAGAAAAATAATTTATCATACCGTTTCAATAGGAACAAGAGATTAAATAATTTTCTTTCCAAAATTCATCTGTAATTTTATATCACGAATAATAAAAGCATGGGCTCAAAAGTAACATAATCGAATTTCATTGTCAAAAGTATAAGCTATTATCTTTACAAATTTATTAAAAGCATGCCACTCTTTTATTATTCGTGACATAAAATTGCAGATGAATTTTTCTGAAGAAATTATTTAATCTCTTGTTTCCATACAACAGTAGGATATATAATTTTTCTTCTTTAAGTTCATTAATTATTTTATAAGTTTTAAATAAAAGTTTATTTTATAAAAAAATGTTTTTACCTTATTTAATTTTTATCATTTTAGTCTTAATTACTCAAATGACTAAGTTAATTAATAATGACTAATTACTTAAAAAATCGTTGTTTAACAATGAAAAATCACTCTTTTACTTCCTCTCATTCTCTTACATCAAATGGTGGATAAAATGAAGCGATTTTCGAAAATTCGCCGAAAAATCGCAAAATAAGTTAAACATTTCATATAAAATTCATTTAAAAGATTTTTTTGCTGTATCCCATGCAGTAAGAGATTTTAGAGTTTTAGATTGATCGATAAACGAAGATACGCGCGAAAAATTATTCCATTATTAAGTTTCAAAACGTCTATCAAATTTTGAAAACTATATAGCTGTATAACATTCTATAAGGTCTGAAAATAAAATAATGAGACAAGATAAAGTAATGTGTAAGAGATAAAATAATAAGTTATAGTGTTTTACGTTTTTCCGTAATATCAATTCTGTACGATAACTATCAAAGACTAGTTGTGAATAGTCGCTATGTCTTCTACTACAGGGACAGAGAAAGGGGGCAAAGGGTTCTTTTATTTGAATCAAATAAACGTTTAACAGAGGGTACCAACTCGTGCTTACATAAGCCAACACTAATAGTTTAAATCAAAGATAATGGATTAACTAATACTAACGGCTGTGCAACTGGAATAACGCGCAAGCTGGCTGTGACCTAAGGTCGGTGTAACAAGCCTAATTGATGAGCACTGCAGAATACTATTCTCAAGAGAATCAAATTAATAATGTGGTCTTCACGCAGGCAGAACACGCTCTGAGTCTACCCCCTAAAACCTTTCTTTAAATAGTCTCTCCTTTATACCTCATTTGAATATCAACGAGCTATAAATTTACATTCTCATAGGAAAATGGAAGTGAGGGCGATGGGAAAGTAAATTAACATAAAATAATTGGTTAGGAACTTGAAAGTGACCTCACAAAGTTTTATAATTTTTTGTTATACTGAAATGTATTATTTGAATTGAATGATAATATGAGATCAAGTAAAGAATTTTATAATTTTTTATTTAATTAAAATTAGTCTGACATTATATAAATACTCTTACTTTTTATTGCATTAAAAGATATTATTTGAATTAAAATAATATTAGATCAATTGATGATTTTTTAATTTTTCATTCAATTAAAATTACAATCCGACATTCTAAGTAATCCCCTTAGCAAGTCAAACAGCGTTGGAGATGATTTATCCATTCTTCATAGTCTTATGAAAACATTCCCTGTAATTCGCAT